ATTAAGCAGAATTTCTACATGCAGTTAGTTTGCATGTAGAAATTCTGCTTAATTTCCTTGTGATATGATAAAGTCTGTATAGAGTTCAGCTTGGGACTTTAGACTAAAGCAAAATGTGCATCTGTCCTGCTGGGCAAGAATCAAAAACTGAGAAACTTGGGATACTTTATTTTTATTTTTATGTTTTATTTCTGGCCTTAGAGTCCTCTGAAATCCCATTTATCTAACCACAAGGACAACACGCATAAAGCACAGATCTTTCCTTTCTGAAGATGAAACAATATCTCAATGATTTGCATAACATAATTTAGGTTAGTTGTTTTATTAGTTTCTCACCTTAAGTGTAATGAACTGTGCTCTCTTTTCTTAAAAAGCAGAATTATTCTTTCAGAAAGTAGATTAATTTGAACAAGCTTGTTCCTTTAGAAAACTCAGTGCTATTGTCCTGTTTTCATTGTGCTTTTCATTTCAAATAGAATATGAATTAGCTTGAGAATTTCAGCAGAAAATGTAAGATGTTGTTCTTATTTCCTATATATGGTGTACTTTATTTTTCTTTCTTTTCAGACTCGATGGCTTTCCTTTTGAGTAAGTATAAATATTTCAGTAATTGGTTTCACTTGGAAAAAGATGCCCAGTGTTTTTTCCCTGCCTTTTGCTTCCATAGACTTAAAACTCACGGGTAGAAATTAAACCAGAATGAGCAGGCCTAGGAATATCCACTTAAGCACAGTTGTACAGATTTACATAAATCAAAACATTCTCTTCCTAATTATCTTGTCTAAAAAAAGATGTGTAGTCAAGGGCATTTAGCTTTTTTTATCAAGTACAACTATGAAAAGTTACACTCTCCTCTCCTGCTTAGTTGTGCACATGTGGCTGCAATATTAAATGTAATAAGGGGGATTATTTCTATTCTTCATGCTTCTTTCCTTATTTCTTTTCTTCATGTTGAACCAAAAGCAATCCAGGTATCTACACTGGAGGTTGTACTAATTTCCAGTGTGCCTGGTTAGCTTCACACAGACTTTTGTTCTCTCCATGCATGGGGCCATCTCCAGTGGTGTGTTAATTTAGTGTATTACCATTTTCTACCCCAAAATCAACTACTGTAAGGCAAACTGAGCTACAGAACATACAGGCATCTGCATAAAGTTGGGTCTTTCCCCCCCCCCTCCTCTAGTTAACTGAAAAACATTTTTGTTAACAGATGATATCTTTGAACTGCAGCATGTTTTACTGTCAAACACATCAAACGGTGCCATTTAGTGAGTTCTGAAGGAGACACAACTAATTTAAGAAAGTGTTTTAATGTTACAAAAAACCACCCAGCTTCCTTAGTCCTTCCAGGTTGTTGTTTTCATGCTGCTATTTTTGTATTTATGGTTTAGAGGTGGCAGGAGTACTTGGTTCTGGCTTTGTGGTAGTTGGATGACAGTTCTGCCAGTGCTGCTGAATTTGTGATGTGTTGCTTTGTTCTGTTTCTGCAGGGAAGGTATGGATACAGATAAAGATGACCAACATGGAAGGTACTGTTGATACAGTCACTGAAATCTCAGTTCTGACACAGGATCCTGACTGTGGATGCCTGTTCTCAGTGTCACTGTGGTCCCAGATTATTGCTTTGCTGGGGTGAAGCAATAATCTAAACAATCTTAGTTTGAACAACATGGAGCAGACAAGCTAGAGCATCCCCACATCTGAGGCACAGGGTTATAGAGCTGTGCTCTAGAAAGGCTAAATAAACATATTCAGATTGTGAAAAAACTGATCTTAAGGAGGATCAGTAGGATGTGAGATGCAGTGAAAGAGTTGGGTTGAGTGCTTTCAACGCTGTAACTTTGTGATGTGTTTCTCAACAGATTGGAGTATGCAGACCAACAAGGCAGGATAAAAAATGCAAGGTAATGCTCTAAACTTATACATTTTAAAGGACTGTCTTTTTCTTTTTGCCATGTATGAATTATCTGTGCGTGTTCCTTCTGAAAAGACCTTTTTCTAGCTTTGACCTTCCCTTATTTTTCCATATCTTTGCACTGTTCATGTTTTTCATTCAGTTTGCACAGAGTGAAACAGCTGATCTGGTGAGTTACTTTTGTTTCAGTCAGTTCACTGCTGTTGAAATCGAAGCCAGATAAATCTCTGGTGCTGTTACATCCTTCATCTTTCTTCTTTCAAACTCCATAGGTGGGAAAATCACTTTCCACTTGTGAAGGTGCTAGCAGTGAATTTTAATACGGGAAAACACAAACCTGACCAGCGCTGGGTGTGGTTTCTGGCAAGCCAGAAGCTTTTGTGCTGCAACCTTTCCTGTTGCTTCTAACGGTTCCTTACCCAAGGAATTCCAACA